TCGATTCACAGGGACAGTCGAGTCACAGGGACAGTCGATTCACAGGGACAGTCGATTCACAGGGACAGTCGATTCACAGGGACAGTCGATTCACAGGGACAGTCGATTCACAGGGACAGTAGATTCACAGGGACAGTAGATTCACAGGGACAGTAGATTCACAGGGACAGTAGATTCACAGGGACAGTAGATTCACAGGGACAGTCGATTCACAGGGACAGTCGATTCACAGGGACAGTCGATTCACAGGGACAGTCGATTCACAGGGACAGTCGATTCACAGGGACAGTCGATTCACAGGGACAGTCGATTCACAGGGACAGTCGATTCACAGGGACAGTCGATTCACAGGGACAGTCGATTCACAGGGACAGTCGATTCACAGGGACAGTCGATTCACAGGGACAGTCGATTCACAGGGACAGTCGATTCACAGGGACAGTCGATTCACAGGGACAGTCGATTCACAGGGACAGTCGATTCACAGGGACAGTCGATTCACAGGGACAGTCGATTCACAGGGACAGTCGATTCACAGGGACAGTCGATTCACAGGGACAGTCGATTCACAGGGACAGTCGATTCACAGGGACAGTCGATTCACAGGGACAGTCGATTCACAGGGACAGTCGATTCACAGGGACAGTCGATTCACAGGGACAGTCGATTCACAGGGACAGTCGATTCACAGGGACAGTCGATTCACAGGGACAGTCGATTCACAGGGACAGTCGATTCACAGGGACAGTCGATTCACAGGGACAGTCGATTCACAGGGACAGTCGATTCACAGGGACAGTCGATTCACAGGGACAGTCGATTCACAGGGACAGTCGATTCACAGGGACAGTCGATTCACAGGGACAGTCGATTCACAGGGACAGTCGATTCACAGGGACAGTCGATTCACAGGGACAGTCGATTCACAGGGACAGTCGATTCACAGGGACAGTCGATTCACAGGGACAGTCGATTCACAGGGACAGTCGATTCACAGGGACAGTCGATTCACAGGGACAGTCGATTCACAGGGACAGTCGATTCACAGGGACAGTCGATTCACAGGGACAGTCGATTCACAGGGACAGTCGATTCACAGGGACAGTCGATTCACAGGGACAGTCGATTCACAGGGACAGTAGATTCACAGGGACAGTAGATTCACAGGGACAGTCGATTCACAGGGACAGTCGATTCACAGGGACAGTCGATTCACAGGGACAGTCGATTCACAGGGACAGTCGATTCACAGGGACAGTAGATTCACAGGGACAGTAGATTCACAGGGACAGTAGATTCACAGGGACAGTCGATTCACAGGGACAGTCGATTCACAGGGACAGTAGATTCACAGGGACAGTAGATTCACAGGGACAGTCGATTCACAGGGACAGTCGATTCACAGGGACAGTAGATTCACAGGGACAGTCGATTCACAGGGACAGTCGATTCACAGGGACAGTAGATTCACAGGGACAGTAGATTCACAGGGACAGTAGATTCACAGGGACAGTCGATTCACAGGGACAGTAGATTCACAGGGACAGTAGATTCACAGGGACAGTCGATTCACAGGGACAGTCGATTCACAGGGACAGTAGATTCACAGGGACAGTAGATTCACAGGGACAGTAGATTCACAGGGACAGTCGATTCACAGGGACAGTAGATTCACAGGGACAGTAGATTCACAGGGACAGTAGATTCACAGGGACAGTCGATTCACAGGGACAGTAGATTCACAGGGACAGTCGATTCACAGGGACAGTCGATTCACAGGGACAGTAGATTCACAGGGACAGTAGATTCACAGGGACAGTAGATTCACAGGGACAGTCGATTCACAGGGACAGTAGATTCACAGGGACAGTAGATTCACAGGGACAGTAGATTCACAGGGACAGTCGATTCACAGGGACAGTAGATTCACAGGGACAGTAGATTCACAGGGACAGTAGATTCACAGGGACAGTAGATTCACAGGGACAGTAGATTCACAGGGACAGAAGATTCACAGGGACAGTAGATTCACAGGGACAGTAGATTCACAGGGACTAAGAGCGCGGTAGTGATGTAGTAGGGGCGGGTAAGAGAGGCTGGAATGACACGGACAGTGGAGCAGCGGGGCAGTGGGTGGGCGGGCAGCACCTGGTGTTGATGCGAGCAGCAGCAGCAGCAGCGGCAGTGGGAAGGTCGACATCCACCACCTGCGATGCGATTGGATGGCAGGCGAGGGGTGGGAGAGAGGGGTGGGGTGGGAGAGAGAGGGGTGGGAGAGAGAGGGATGGGAGTGGGGAAAGGGGTTGGAGAGAACAAGAGGACGAGAAAGCGCCGTTTCAGTAGATTGCTATACCTTGGGTTGGGCTTTCATACCTGGTAGGCGCAACGCAGGTCAGCACAGGTAGGCGCAGGCAGCAACGCCTCAACGCGCCTCACGACCCCCCCAGTTCACTCGCACGCATGCACCCAGCCCAGCCAGCCCACTTGCATGGGTCCCGTCCCATCCCATCCCACCTGCACGGAGCCCACCTGCACGGAGCCCACCTGCACGGAGCCAGACGGCTGCATGACGGTTAGCAGCTCGTCCTCTCCGCCCCGCTGCTGCCCCTCGCCCTGCGCCCTCGCTCCCCCTCGCATGGCGCCGCTGCTGCCCCGCACGCACGGCGCGGGGGGGGGGTGAGCGGGAGGAGGGGAAGAGCGGGAGGGGAATGAAGGCGAATGTTGGATGGAAGGGAAGATGAAGGAGGTGGTGAGGGCGAGAGGAGATGGAGAAGCGGAGGCACAGAGGCTAGCGGGGCATTACGGCTGCCGTGACATCCTGAAATGTGTGAGGTCGGGGAGGTGAGTTTCTTTGGATATGAGAGCTTTCAAGGGTACAAAGGTTGGTTGGGGAGTGGAAGGAGATTGGCTAGCGAGGATGTTGAACACCGAAATGCTCACACAAGTTTTGCTGCATGGGTTTGGACTCGCCAATGTTACCACAATTTCATGCAACAATCAAACCCATCTCACGAGATCGCATACGGGACACTCTGCAACCGATCAGTGCTGGCCTGCCGAGGGCATTCTTTGTTCCCATCAAGCAAAAGCAGAAAGCACAGCGTCATCCACACCAGACCCTAGAACGTTTGGCTAAGAAACCGTGATTATAGTCAGCAGCTCGTGAAAATCCCATCACAGATTTAGAAACAAAATTCACAATGTCAGTCAGGTCAAGTGATGCCGATTACATGCGGGGTGCCGTGGAACCCAAGGCATGGAGTCACCCCCCCCGGATCAACAATGATCCATAGCAAGGTTTGCACCGTGCGACGCCATACAATCAAGGCGCCGCGACCGACTATCGCCTCGTGAAATAACAAGAAAATCGGCATCCATTCGTCCACGACTGTTTAGGGTCGGTGACGACGGTACCACTCCCCTTTCCCCCACTGTATCAAGGCCCTGTTCCCCCAAGTACCACTCCCCTTTCCCCACGGTCGCCCGCACCATCTCCCCACCGTCGCACTCCCCATATCCCCACGGTCGCACTCCCTTGTTCCCCCAAGTACCACCCCCCTTTCCCCCACGGTATCACTCCCATTTCCCCACAGCACTCCCATTTCCCCACGGTCGCACTCACCATATCCCCACGGTCGCACTCCCTTGTTCCCCCAAGTACCACCCCCCTTTCCCCCATTGTTTCCCTCCCCTTTCCCCCACGATCGCACTCCACTTTCCCCACGGTCGCACAGAATTGCCCCACGGGAGCACTACCATTCCCTCACAGTGTCGCTCCCCTGGCTCCACGGAAGACATCCATTTCCCCCTCGCTAGCACTCCCCTTCCCCCACGCTACCACTCCCCTTCCCCCACGCTACCACTCCCCTTCCCCCACGCTAGCGTGCCCCTTCCCCCATGCTAGCACTCTCCTTCCCCGTCGCTACCACTCCCCTTCCCCCTCGCTAGCCCTCCCCTTCCTCGTCGCTAGGACGGTAGGAGATGTTCGCCTGCCGCCCTGCATGCGAGTTGAACGACATTGCATAGTCTTTGGTCGAATTGGGCTGCTGGTCGTTACTCCATTCTAATTTCGAGATACGACCGCACCAGCATCTTACGTTAGGCGACTCTCTGGCTCCACCCAGGGCTGGTAGTGACTCCACAATTTTCCTCGCGCCAAAGCTGACGCCTTGCCCACGCTACTAGTACGCCTTCGTTGGCGTGACCTAAGCCAATCAAAGGACAAAATGCGCGCTTCTGCGAAATAGTTGCGCAGACGTGGCCCACTATGCCGAACATATGCCTAATGTGGGCATTTGCATTGGCTGGATATGGTAAGTTGATGACCTACGAAAGCGGAGTAGGCTTTGATGCTCGTTGATAGTCTTTTACAGTGGTGACTTGAGACACATCTCAAGTTTGTGGCCCGCAGCTTTTAGGTTTCCTACCAGTTATCTGTGCGACACTTGAAGGTGCGGACGACCGTGTAGCTACAGTAATTTCGGGTGGTGATTGTTTGCGGAGATGCTTGTACCGTCTTTCAGTGCCCCACGCTGTCAACAGGGTTACACCCAACAAGGGTTGGTTGGTTGAACCAGTCTTGCTAAACTTGTGACCCCAGTTTTGAGATTAAGACTACCCGACTAAATATGATCTGACTGAAACAATAGTGCAGGTTTCTTTGGGCCAACCCGTGGGACCTGTTCAAGTCTGCCAGGGGGGGAACAACAGCGTTCCAGAGAAGCCAGGTTTAAAAGCATCCAAGCACAGAGGACCCCACTGCTGAACCTTCCATTTTCCTCCTGAAACCCTAAATTGCAAATACCCGTTTGTACAGGCAGCCACTCATTAGTGCGTGTTGCAAATGTCGAATGGTGAATCAATGGATAGGCGTTCAACGCCGAGCGGTGCAATCACCCCATGACAGATGTGTGTCTGACGACAATGAAGTGCTCACCCTAGCAACGAATAGCCAAGCCAAGGGACTGGAACGTCGCACGAGGCAGGCAGCGGATCGCGCGATGGAGCTTCCGCCCGATGCCCGGCGGGGCAAGAGTCGCGCGGCGGCCGTGAGCCCGTTGGTGCTGCGCGAAATCGTCGCCGTGCGACGCGCGCATCCCGAGCTCGCGAACGAGCACATCGCGACGGCCGTCAACGCGCAGTACGGCACGCGCCTCGGCTGCAGCGACATCGATCGACTCTATCGAAAGGCCACCGTCGAAAGCAGCGTAGGGAAGAATAAGTTCGTTCGTTATAAGAACGCGGAGCTTGAGGCGGAGTTAGCGCGGTGGACGCGCGAGAGGCGGCTCCGTCTCGAGGCGTGGTGGGCGGCGCGGGGGAAGACAAAGGTCCAGAGGTCGAGCATCGTGCATAACCTGCAGAAACACGCGCGGCGCGTCGCAGAGCGGTTCGGCGTGCCTCCTCTATTCGAGTTCGAGCGCTGGTGGTGCTGCGAAGTGCTGCGCGACGCGGGTCTCGACGAGTGCGGCGAGGAGGTGGGGACGCCCTCGGGGGACGAAGGGGGGACGCGGGGGAGGGACGAGGCGGAAACGCGCGACACGCAGGGGGAGAAGCAGGACGACCGCGTCGCACGCGATAACGGAGAGGCGCCGGACTCTACTAGTGCTGGCGAAGGCGGCTTAGGCGGCGCTGCGGAAGGCGAGCTGAGTGCGGGTAGAAGCGGCGGGGGCGATGAGGGCGGAGAGGCCGACGAGGCGCAGGTACCTGCGGGCGCACCGTCGTGGGCGCGGGGCAGCGCCGCGGCCGTGCGCTCCAGCAGCACGCCCAACGGCGGGTCGGCCGCGGCGCCGGACGCGGCCAGCGCGGCTGCGAGCGCGCTGGCGGCGCGCGTGCGGTACGAGGTGGCGATGCTGGCGTGCGTGCGGCCGTTCCTGCGTCCTGAGCCCCAGGATCGTGACGGCCGCCGTGCACGCGCGGTACGGGCTGTGGCTCATCCCCAAGTACGTCCGCCACATCGCCAAAGAGAGCCGCCGCTGGGTGCGTGCGGACGCGGGGGGGAGCGCGCCTGGCGCGGCGGACGCGGGGGAGAGCGCGCTGGAGGAGGCAGTGGCGCTGTGGGTGGTGGCAGAGGAGGAGGGCGCGGGGCGCGCTGTGAGCCGCGCGCAGCTGGTGGGCAAGGCGAGGGAGCTGGCACGGGGTTGCGGCGTGGAGGAGGGGCGGTGCACTGAGGCATGGGCGAGCAGGTTCGTTAGCCGGTACGGGCTGCTGCTGCTTCGCCTGGCTGAGGCACGCAGGAATGGGGAAGGGGAGGGGGCCGAGGGGGAGAGGACAGGAATGGGGAAGGAGAAGAGGGGGACAGGAGGTGGAAGTGAGAGTGAAGTGGAGTGGTGGCGGAGAGGCAGGAGGAGGCTGAGGACGAAAGTGAGGCGCACGGGAACAGCGAGTGACGATGAGGATGCGGAGGGGGAGAACTTCGAGGAGGAGTATGAAGAGGACTGGGGGGGGTACGACGACTGCCGTGCTACTGCTGGTGGTGGGGCGAGCACGAGCACGGGGTCAGAGAGGGACAGGCGGATGGGGCTGCTGGCGGGGGTGGAGAACCCGTACCGCCATGCACGCGCTCTGCTCATGAGCCTGGCTCGCCAGGAGGGCGCCATGCTGCCCTCCCACGTGCTGGAGGAGGCCGTTCTGGATGCGGGGCTGCTGGATGCTGGGTTGCTGGACGCGGGGCTGCTGCCCCCAGCGCCACGAGCATCACCAGTGCCAGCGCCACGACGAGACGGCCAGGTGCAGCGTGGCGAGCCACCAGCGCCAGCAGTGGGCCGTGGGGAGCCTGTGAGCCGTGCTGTGTCGCAGGGAGAGGTGGGCGAGAGGCAGGGGGGGGCAGACTTGGGAAGAGCAGGGGATGCTGGCGGTGGGAGAGGGGAGGGTGAAGTGGGTGGCGCCAGGCAGTCCCCATCTCCTTGGCATGATGATGCATGGCGCTCCGTGTCCCCCCTGCCCGCCATGGGCAGCCTCGAGCTGCAGGCGCTGCAGAGGGAGGTGAGCAGCGAGAGCGTTGTCCTGTCCCACTTCCACTTCCACTGCCTGCCACCCGCCTTCCAGGGCAGTGGTGGCGGGGGAGAGGGGGCAGGTGGAAGGGGGGAAGAGCGAAGAGGAGCAGGAGGAGGCGAGAGCGGAGGTGTGAGCAGAAGGGAGGAGGTTAAAGGCAGTGGAGAAGGCAGGGCGGCAGGAGAGGAAAAGGCGGAGGAGGAGGAGCAGGGAGAGGGAGAGGAGCAGAGCAGGCAGGTTACCTGGTGTGTGGAGATGCATCATTGGGCGTGGTGGTGGAGAGGCAGCTGCCGGGGCTCATTCTGAGTCACATCAGAGCCATCTGCCTCACCGCCCTCGCCCGCCCCCACCTGCCCCACGCTCAGCTGCTGCACGCCATTGCCCAGGCCTGGGGGCTGGCGCTCTCTCCCCTTGACCTGCGCGCCATCCTTGCCCAGACCACCAGGTTACATGACTTTCCCTCGGCCCCCCTTCCACCACCGCCCCTCCCCCCCTGCTCGGCCTCCACCATCTTTCCTCTCCCACCCTCATCTCTGCATTCTCTCTACTCAACCCCCCTACTCCGCGCCCCCCCCCCTCCCCCCCACCCTTCCACCCACTCTCTCCCCCCCGCGTCCCCCTGCAGGTGGATGGTGCTGCCGGGGGGCATCACGAGGGCCGGGGTAGAGGGGCGGGTGAGGGAGCGCGTGCAGAGGGAGGAGGGGCGGCGGGCGGGGCGAGTGGAGGTGGTGCTGCTGCAGTGGGTGCAGCAGCTCTCCGCCACCATCCTCCTCGACCGCGCCCGCTTCTCCTTCCCACCTGGCTTCCACTGGGGCTCGCCTGCTGCTGCTGAAGCCAGCAGTGCTGCTGCTGCCGGTTCTGCTGCCGCCGGATCTGCTGCCGCCGGTGCTGCTGCTGCTGCTGCTGACGCTGCCAGTGCTGCAACTTCTAGTGGTGCTCAGAGTGGTGGTGATGATGGTGGCACTGCTGTTACAGCGGGTGGGGTGATGGAGGAGCATATGAGGCGCCTCTTTGGCCCACTGGATCCGGGAATGGTGGCATCCACCACCGCCAATTCTTATCTTGGTGGGACCGTGAGCGCACAGGTGGGTGGGAGCCTGCTAGGGAAGCACGGGGTGCCGCTCATTCTGACGCGCCCCATGCTGCGCCAGGCAGCGCGCCGCATCGCCCCGCTGCTGTACCGCAGCGGCAGGGGCTGCCCGCGCTTCGAGATCTACTGGTGCCGCCGCTTCCTGCGCCGCCTCGAGGCTCTGCGGTCGCTGGCTCGCCTGAAGCTCACTGCCGCCCGCCAGGGGGGTCCGGCACCCGTTGTGATCCGGTGGCCGAGTGAGGGGCATGGAGAGGAAGAGGGCGGGGAGGAGGGGATGAGTGGGGGTGGGAGAGAGGGAGAGGGTAGGGAGAGGGACGATGCTGCTGCTGGTGCTGTTGATGCTGTTGCTGGGGGTGCTGCTGCTGGTGATGGTGCTGCTGATGGTGCTGCAGCCAGGGAGCTGCAAGAGGAGGTGTGGCGAAGGCATTTCCTGCAGCGGGTGGAGAGGCATGTGCAGGAGTTGAGAGGGGTGCAGCGAGGTGGGATAGAAACGCGCGGAGCAGATGAAACGCGTGGAGCAGTTGAAACCCGTGGAGCAGATGAAACGCGTGGAGCAGATGAAACGTGTGGAGCAGATGAAACGTGTGGAGCAGATGAAACGTGTGGAGCAGACGGTTTGGGTGAAGCTAGACTGCAAGCAGGAGGAGAAGCGAGAGAGGAGGGAAGTGGTGGAGGGAGGCGAAGTGAGGGAGGATACGAACGAGATGGGGACGAGGGAGGGCAGGGGAGAGAAGACGAAACGGCTGGCGAGGTGCTGTCTGAAAAGGAGGCGGTGAAGGCACCGGTGGCCGTGGGTGCAGCAGCAGGCACGGCAGCAGCAGGCACGGCAGCAGCAGGCACGGCAGCAGCAGGCACGGAAGCAGCAGGCACGGAAGCAGCAGGCACGGCAGCAGCAAGCACGGCAGCAGCAGGCACGGCAGCAGCAGGCACGGCAGCAGCAGGCACGGCAGCAGCAGGCACGGCAGCAGCAGGCACGGCAGCAGCAGGCACGGCAGCAGCAGGCACGGAAGCAGCAGGCACGGAAGCAGCAGGCACGGCAGCAGCAAGCACGGCAGCAGCAGGCACGGCAGCAGCAGGCACGGCAGCAGCAGGCACGGCAGCAGCAGGCACGGCAGCAGCAGGCACGGCAGCAGCAGGCACGGCAGCAGCAGGCACGGAAGCAGCAGGCACGGAAGCAGCAGGCACGGCAGCAGCAAGCACGGCAGCAGCAGGCACGACAGCAGCAGGCACGGCAGCAGCAGGCACGGCAGCAGCAGCAGTGGTGGTGGCGGCGGTGCAGAGGGCGCTGTGTGAGTGGGTGGCGGAGGGGGTGGTGGGGCGGCGAGCAGACGAGGAGGAGGCGCGGGAGCAGGCAGTGGTGGTGGGTGCGGTGCAGGCCACGTGGGGCGTGCAGGTGGGCGAGGAGCTGCTGGCTCTGCTGTGGCAGCAGCGCTCCCAGCTGCTGGGCGACGGGTGGGAGGGGCGGATCAGAGCACAGTTAGCAGGTGTCGTGCAGCAGAGGGAGGGTGGGGATGGGGAGAAGGAGGAGGTGAAGGCTGGGGATGATGGTAAGGGGCAGGTGGGGCAGGAGAAGGGGCAGGTGGGGCATGAGAAGGGGCAGGTGGGGCAGGAGAAGGGGCAGGTGGGGCAGGAGAAGGGGCAGGTGGGGCAGGAGAAGGGGCAGGTGGGGCAGGAGAAGGGGCAGGTGGGGCATGAGAAGGGGCAGGTGGGGCAGGAGAAGGGGCAGGAGGGGCATGAGAAGGGGCAGGTGGGGCATGAGAAGGGGCAGGTGGGGCATGAGAAGGGAGTGCATGGTGAGCCCAGCGCGGTGCTGCTGCAGTGGGTGGCGTGGCGGGCCGTGCGTGCACTGCTGCTGGCACTGGACGGGCCACAGTGGCACGGCAGGCTGCTGGCACGTGTGGCATGCAAGGTGTATCGGGGGGATATATGCAGGGCCGGGCAGGACCACTGCACCGTGCATGCGGTGAAGCAAGGTGCATCTAGGGACGGGCGGGGCGAGCGTACGGTGCATACAGTGGCGCAAGGTGTGTGTGGTGGAGGTGGAGGGAACGGGAAGAGGAGGCGTGAAGGGGAGGGAGCGTGGGTGCGATGCGTGCAACGAGGATACTGGTACTTCGACCGCAGTGGGATTGCTGATGCTCATGCTGGTGATGGTGGGAATAATGATGATAGTGATGATGATGGTGGTGGTGATGATGGTGGTGCTGGCATGGGAGCATGGCCACACAGCGAGCAGCCAGTGGGAGGTCGAGGCAACCTGGCAGGGCGGCAGTACAGCGCAGCGCCTGCCTGCCAGGCACGGGCGATTGCTCCCCGCCCCACCCCGCCCACGGCAGGGGCAGCGCCGGCAGGTGCAGGAGGAGCAGTGGCGGTGGGGGTGGGGTCCGCTGCACACGGGCAGAGCACAGCAACGGGTGCATGGGGTGGCGCACAGGCAGCAGCAGCAGGCGCATGGCAGCAGGGGCACACCACGCAGACTGCAGCAGCCATGCCCGCACGCTCACACACACACACCACACCATTAGCAGCGTGCCCCATGCCTGCTTCTCTGCCCGTGCGTTCCTCTCCTCTGCTGGCATGGCAGCAGAGCCAGCATCTCAGGCTGCCACTCGCAGCACAGGGGGGCTCTCAGCCCACCCCCACACAGCACTGCCGTCTAGCGGCCTATCCACCCACTGCTTATCAGCCCACCTCTTATCGGCCCACCTCTTATCAGCCCACCTCTTATCAGCCCACCTCTCATCAGCCCACCTCTCAGCCCACCCCTTATCAGCCCACCTCTTATCAGTCAAACTCTTATCAGCCCACCTCTTATCAACCCACCTCTTATCAGCCCACCTCTTCTCAGCCCACCTCTTATCAGCCCACCTCTTATCAGCCCACCTCTCATCAGCCCACCTCTCAGCCCACCCCTTATCAGCCCACCTCTTATCAACCCACCTCTTATCAGTCAAACTCTTATCAGCCCACCTCTCATCAGCCCACCTCTCATCAGCCCACCTCTCAGCCCACCCCTTATCAGCCCACCTCTTATCAACCCACCTCTTATCAGTCAAACTCTTATCAGCCCACCACTTATCAACCGACCTCTTATCAACCCACCCCTTCCCAGCCCAGCTCGTATCAGCCCAGCTCGTATCAGCCCTACTCTCATCCCCTCGGCACACCCCAAACAAGTCGTCTCCACCACCCCTGTGCTTCCCAACAGCATCATCCCCCCTCTCAACCTCCCCCCTTCCAACCCCCCCACTCTCGCCCTCCCCCCTCTCACCCTCCCCCCTCTCACCCTCCCCCCTCTCACCCTCCTCCCTCTCATCCTCCCCCCTCTCATCCTCCCCCCTCTGCACGCATTGTGGGGCCCGGAACGGGAAGGAGGGAGGGGAGGAAACGGCAATCAAATCAGGCAGCTGGAAAGGTTCTGAAGGATGGGCGGGCAGGGAAAGGGGCAGCAAAAGGATCAGCCTTTCAGAATGCATGGAAGATGCTGATGGTGCGAGGGGGTGAGGAGGAGGACGAGGAGGGTGAGGAGGGAGAGGAGGGAGAGGAGGAAGAGGAGGGAGGGGAGGGAGAGGAGCAGGAGGCAGAGAGGAGACTAGACAGTGGGGAACTGAAACGCAATGGCAAGAAGAGGAGGGTTACATGGGGGGATGAGGGAGTGAATGGCAGGCAGGATGGAGAGGCAGGGGGTGATGGTAGAAGCACTGGTGGCGATGGCAGTAGCGACAGTGAGAGCAGTGCGAGTGGGAGTGAGAGTGAGAGTGGGAGTGAGAGTGGCAGTGGGAATGGTAGTGGGAGTGGTAGCAAGAGTGACGGGGTTGAGGAGGGCAGCAGTGATGAGAGCGCGCAGGGAGGGCAGAGCAGCCCAGCTCACCCAGGTGTCACAGCAGGCGGGGGGCAGCAGGCAGGGGGAGGGGGTGCAGGCAGTGGGGTGAGCAGCAGCACATGTGGCGCCGGCAGCAGGTGGGGGAGGTTGCATCCAGGGCTGGAGCTCTTTGTGCAGCCAGAGGCAGCAGCAGCCATGCAGGGCACACCTGGGGGAGGTGCATCTGTGCCACTCCCTCTCTCCCAGAATCTGGTTGAAGCAGTGGTGGAGACGGCACTTGTGGCGGCAGCAGTGGCCACTCCTGCTGCCACTGCTCCTGCTGCCACTGCTCCTGCTGCCACTGCTCCTGCTGCCACTGCTCCTGCTGCCAGTGCTGATGCTGCCACTGCAGTCATTGCCAGGGGGAAAGCATTGGGTAACCTTGGGGGAGAGCCGTCCACTGCCGGCACTGCTGCTTCTGCCACGGCGGCTAATTCTTGTGCTGCTGCTGCTGCTGCTGCTGCTGCTGTTGGGAATAGTGGTACTCCTGATAATCAACGTGCTGCTGCCTTTGGTAATGCTGCTGCTGCTGCTGCCACTGTCACTGCTGCTGCTGTTGCTGCTGCTGGTGGTGGCGGCATGGAGGCGATTGTGACACCAGGAGTGGTGAGAGCCATGGGGGGGATGAAGACCTCAAGCAGGCAGCATGGCTCTCATCATCCACCCGGGATGGCTGCCACTGCTTCCGATGCTGCCATGGCTTTGGTGCTTCAACGACTGCAGTCAACAGTGCAGCTTCAACCGTCAATGCCGATTCAGGAGGGGAATTGGCTGTTGCAATATCTGTCATCAAATGTGCAGCAGGTGCAGCAGCAGCACCAGCAGCAGCAGCAGCAGCAAAAGTGGGAGCAGCGTATACACCAGTTGACACAAGCGCATGAGCCACAAGCACAGCAGCAGGTGATGCTGCCACCTCATGAGGCGAGTCAGCAGCAGCTGATGCTACAGATACAGCAGCAGCAGCAACTGCTGCTCCAGCAGCAGAGGCAGCTTCAGCAGCAGCAGCAACAGCAGAAGGTGCTACAGCAGTGCGTGCAGCAAGTAGCAGCTGTAGCAGTGATTCAAAGGCAGGAATTTCACAAGCTACAGCAGCAGGTGCACCAACACCACCAACCGCATCGACAATAACCATGAGTGGTAGGTACAGCCAAGCTCGTGAAGGGTACCGGTATATATTATTTAGGTTGCACATACACATTGCTGTATATTGTGTACCACACCACATGTATGACCTTACATACGGTACGAATTCCCTCAATGTTGTGTTGAAATAAGATTGGCTCGTAGGCATGCAAGTAGGTGTATGGTGTTGAGATAATAGGATGACGTCAGCACGTAGCTATAGGCCTCGCAAATAGTCTTGTACCGTTTCAGAACACGAATAGCGTGAATAGCACAGTACAGTATGCGAATAGGTACTTTACTCTAGCTATATATTCTGTATGTTTGTCATTTTATTATATATCTGATTTCAGAGACATTGATCCTGAAACATATCACTACATGGGCTTATATTAGTCCAGACAAAGACTTCCGCTACAACAGGAAGCTATCATCCTAAGTATACGATCCTATTCAATCACTTCAAATTCTAACATGGTATTGCGAGCGTCTTAGGATTCTACAAGCTTCCAACTACATACTCTGCAACTATGTCTGGCTCTCCACGATCCAACAACGGCTCTTCTATTACGAGCCCATCACGCCTAACAGCGTCTCCAACTGCTGACAATTCTGATCTGCAGCAACAACAATATCAGCAACAACCAATGTACGGCATGCCACTGAGCAATCAGTCCGTACACACAACCGCAGCAGCGGCATCATCGGTGTTATAGTCACAATAGGCTTGAATGTGCCTAAAACGAAAGATAGAGTGCACAGACGGATTTCTGCAGAGCGGCTTCAAACGTTGATAGCGTTCTGGTCACAGCTTCAAATGACCTGATTCAACTTGGATCTGGAGCGTCTTAGCGTCGCCTACAATAAGCAATTTAGATTGCACGATTTGATAAAGGATTGACGACACAGCGTCAGTTTGAACGAACGGCACTATGGCAGCCACTATAGACTTAGAACTCAAATTAGGAAGAGTTACGAGTTGGGAATGACTCCCAGCTCCTACAAACCCCAAGAGCCGAGGTACAGTGATGTGGAACAGTGCCACACTGTCCCCAACCACGAAGGGTCTCGAAACTACCCTCCACAAGGGCCTACACCAAGAGTAATGTTACACTACACAAAGTAATGCAACTATTCTCACTATCTTAATGTTTACCCTTTTGGAGAGCTTTGAAATCACTTGAATCTTGAAACCAAGGCTCTAGTTCTTCAAGATTAATTCTTTCTTGAGTTCTTGGAAGTCTGCTGCGCACACCTGCGACACGCCGAACGTTCCACACACGACAAAATAGAAAACCACACACGACTCGCAAACAACGACGTCGCACGCAACTAGCGATAACTCGCTATTGACTCGACACACACATTCAAAATCATGCCTCATCATTCACACACTATTGTAAGCATGAAATATATATTATTTCATGCCCTCATACCATTCCATGCACACACGCATGCACGCACACGGACAACAAGCCGAATGCAAACCGTAGGGTTGCACCAACAAACTCCCCCTCGGATTGTTGGCCTTAGGATCTTGCTCTCTCAGTTCAGAACAATCCCAGCCAGCTTGCAACACTTCCAATGCTGCTGCTCCACCAGCCTCTTGGTCATCATGTCAGCTGGCTGCCTTGTCGTCTTCACATAGTGCAACTCAACTTCACCCGCGGCCACCATGCTCCTCGTCCAATGCCACTTCACCCTCATGTGCTTGGTGAGGCCATGCAACACAGGGTTCTTAGCAAGAGCAATGGCACCCTGGCTGTCACAGTACAGTGGGGTAGGTCCTTGGTGCTCCTCCCCCAATTCGGCCAACAAACGCCGCTGCCACACAATCTCCCGTACGGCACGGAAGAGTGCCATGTACTCGGACTCCACCGAGCTCAATGCTTGATCCGCCTGCTTCTTGCTCTCCCAAGCTGTTGGGCCTCCACCAACACAACAAATGAACCCTCCAACACTTGTCATGTCCTCTGGTTCTGATGCAAAAGAAGCATCCGAGAATGCGGTGAGGAACAAACGCCCGGGTTCAACACCATCCGCGCCCTTTTGGCGCCTTTGCGCCGCCGCCGAGTATTGCAGCCCAACGCTCGGTGTTTTGCCAAGATACTTGGTCACCCTCATTCCAACTGCTACCTGCTCCTCGTTAGGGCATTGAACAACCCTAGCCAACTGTCCGGTAGCAAACGCGATGTCCGGTCGGGTGTTTACCGCCGCGTACATGAGGCTGCCCACCAACGAGTGAAAACGGCGCCTCTCCTCTTCACCAACGCTCTCCTCCTCTGGTCCCTTCACACACTTGAACCCAGAGGGAAAGGGTGTAGCCACATGGCCTTCACTCTGCTCAAAGTTGGCAGCCAATGCCTCCAGGTACTTTCGTTGATGCACCCGCATGCACCGCTTCTCCACATCTCGTTCGATGTGGAGCCCAAGGTAGAAGCTCACGTCACCAAGGGCCTTGCACTTGAACTTGTCTTGAAGCTTCAGCATCACCTCCTTCACAAGGTCAGAAGAGGGTGAGAAAATGAGAATGTCATCCACATAAACCACCATGAAACTCCTCTGCTCCCCCTCGCCAAGCATGAACAAGGAATGATCGGCGGATGAAGGAGTGAAGCCTATCTCCTCCAACACTCCTCGCAGCTTCAAGTACCACTGCCTAGGGGCCTGCTTCAGTCCATAAAGGGCCTTCTTCAGCCTCAGAACTCTGCCAGTACCATCATCATACCCCTCTGGCTGCGCCATAAAAATCTCTTCCTCAAGGACGCCGTTGAGGAATGCCGTTGTGACATCCATTTGTTTCACCACCCATCCTTTGATGGCAGCTCCCGCGAGTAGGGTTCTCAGCGTCGTCGGCTTCACTACAGGAGCAAACAACTCCTTATAGTCCACCTTCTCCTTCTGCTGGTACCCCTTCGCCACAAGCCTAGACTTGTAGCGCTCGATCTTGCCGTCGGCGTCGGACTTGATCTTGAAGAGCCACTTGGACGTAATCGCCTTACGCCCCTCCGGTAGCTCCACCAATTCCCATGTGCCGTTCTCCTCAATGCTCTTCAGCTCACTCTCCATTGCCTTCTTCCACTCCTCAGCATCACTACTCTCCAAGGCCTCCTTGAGAGTTGCTGGTTCTCCCGGCATCTCCACCGGAGAGAAGAACACGAAGGCACACTCGTCGTAGTCACTCTCCTCGTCATCTCCAACTATAAGTGCCGCTCCGGCCAGAGCTGACTTGGCTGGCTTTCCCAGTGCCTCATAGGTCAGCCTATTTGGGGCTTGGGTTCTCCTTTTGCCCCTTCCTTCTTCCTCAGCTGCAGGGACATGAAGGCCTTGGCGTTGCTGCGGTGTGACTCGGATCCGTGGAGCACTCGTAGTGCGAGAAGGAAGTGTCGGTGCACGCTCGCTCACTTGCTGCACCTCCTCCTCTTCTTCCTCTGCATCCTTGGCCTCCTCTCCCCCATTCACAAGGGAAGATTGCCTTGTGGTGGTGCTGCCGCTGCTCAGCTCCAAGGGCAGCTCCACATTCTCCAAACCGGAACCCTTCACCTCCCCAAACCGCATGCCTATCTTCACCTCATTCTCCGCCTTCCAATCCTTGTATATCAGATTCTCCATGAATTTGCAGTCCCTGCTCACCAAGAATTTCTTGGTGAATGGGTCCCAAAGAAGCCACCCCTTGCTGTTTTGAGCCATGCCCAAGTGCACAGCCCATATTGCCTTGGCACCGAGCTTGTTGTGCCGAAGATGCTTAGGCACGAGCGCCATGCACATGCACCCGAACACCCGAAGCATATCCACCTTTGGCTTCCTTCCAATCCACTCCACATAGGGCACCCATTTGTCTGCTCCCACATGAGTCAAAGCTCTGTTCTTGGCCACACACGCACTCCGCACCGCATCAGGCCAGAAATAGTCGGGTAGCCCGGCTTCAATGAGCAACCCACGCGCCGTCTCCGTGATTGTCCGGTTCGCTCGCTCGGCGATGCCGTTCATTGCAGGGGAGTATGGCATGGTAAGGGAGTGCCTTATGCCATTCTTCTTCAGCCACAATGAGAACTCCTTGTTCAGGAACTCTCCCCCTCGATCGGTGCGAATTGCCTTGACTAGCCGGTCTTGTTGCCGCTCCACCATCGGCAACCAATCGGTCTTCACCGTTTCAGCCACGTCACTCTTCTTGGACAGCACGTAGACCCAAGTCATGCGAGTGTAGACGTCCACA